ATATATATATGTAGAGAATATGATATGTAAAGACTGCAAAGGCTGAAAAATCCTGAAGTCTGTATGAAATTAGAGGTAGTATGAGAATTAAATTTTTTATGTTTTTTAAGATAAAAATGGGGCGGGGGTCGTATTACACATGAGACTGTATTATACACGAATGAATACGGTACTTGAATAAGATGTAGAAAGAAAACCAGGATTTAATCCACGTATCTTAATCAAAATGTCTTAACTTTTTAGCGCCACTCGTGGACGCCAACTCCATCCACAGCGGGTCGGCCATGCTGATGCTGCTCAGCGTGGTAATTGTCGGTTTAGCTGCTTTCTTCATCTACAAATTCAAAAGGTGAGTCTAACTTGCWGTGTGGTGGTTTAAATCACCTTTAAAAAGGCAAAAACTAACTTGTGTCAGTTGATGCTCTGTTAGAAAAATCCCGTGGATTCATGTGGAGACTGAGGACCCCCATGAGAAGGATCCGGAGGTGATAAGCACAGTAGGTCAGAATGATGGCATGTCCAAGGTCAAGCTAAGCGAGTTTCCATCTCAGAAAGAACTGATGGAAAAGGAGCTGGAGGGAAGGAACAGGGGTAAYTATTCGTTATTTACATTTGTTATGTGGCAAACTGGATTGAAGCATTGCTGGAATATGCAGGTTTTTTTTACTCGAGGGAAAACTAGTTTTCCACAATTTAAATATGAAAGCAAAATGTATTTACAGTGAGCTACGATTAAATCTATTGTTGTTGCAATAATGATGAAAATGCAACATTCATCTTTGTTTTTATCTAAACAGATTTAGATGTTAAGGGAAATAGAAACATCTATACATCACTGTTTAAGGATTTCAAAAATTCCATCCCACAAGTTACAGCAGCTGTGATTCAGTCGTTTTTTTATGTGAAATCAAAATTAAATACAGACTATTATTATCTGTGAACYACTCTGATCCATTAATCCATTAATGCAGGATTTAAAGGATGACTGTCAGGGTAAAGAGACTGATGCAGATTAAAACTGCGTTGCCCTAAAAATACATCACTTTGCATATGAATACGTATCACCAGTATTTGAGTGTAGCCTGAAGCAGCCCCCATTGTTTCAGATTTACTCCTCTTTAAGGAAGGCCAGTGTGCACGCTCCGCATTAAAGTGCAGCACACGTCCGAGGAGCTGGAACAACTTTATCRCTGCAGTGTGTCATAGTTTTTTGCAAATTGCCCACCAAGAGCCAGCTGCAGCATCCGCACAGGACTCGGATCTCGTCCGTGACAAGTCCACTCCTTGATTGCTTCGCGTGACATCCGCTGTGATAGCTTTTAGATGGGGACCACTCAGTCCCCGCGCACACTTTGGACTGTTTGACAAAAGTAGCTTTGCAGTGCTCCTGACACAGACATGTGGGCCGCAGGGCTCTTTTTCTGATCACTCAGCACTTCGGTTGTTCTTCATTCCTCAGCTCTTTCTACCTTTTCTCCCCAAGTCTTTGCTGATCTAAAACAAATTAACTTTTTTTTAGAGGGGTTGGTTTTGAAAGTGTTTATTTACCAAAGATCAGTGCAGCGTGGGGACACTAGATTAAATGAATTTACAGCCTGATGTTTAAAGCTTTCATTTGCTCTCATCAGCTGGGTTTCAGTTTTATAAATCTTGTTTTTTGGCTGAAATACAAACGATCCTGCACAGCTGATGCGGATGTTGCCAGATCTGTTCAACAGCATAATAAAACCATCATCCCTGCAGGTCAATGTCCAGCCTGCTGCACTGATCATTTCATTATGTGATTGAGGTTTTTAACTTCCTTGCTTAAATTATTTGGAAAATTGTGGAAAACTGAACTTTTTTATGTTCTTACTGAAATCAAATGACTTCAGAAGCTCCAAAAAGAAGAATCTAAAAGGTATTGATAGCTGTTGTGGTGCAGCTAGGTGAAGAAAAAGAAGAAAATATGAGAATCTGAAACAGTATTTGACAGATTAAGTTTAAAAAAGCACAGTAGAAATGTTAGTTAAGTCTCCTTATTTGGTTTATGCTCATGCCAAATGTCAAAACTGGCAGCTCAGAAACTTTCTATGGCAACCCATTCTCACATCCAACTCGTCAACATATTGATGCTTGGTCGGGTAGCAGTCTGCGTCCAGTTTTGGACACGTCAGGCACCCCCCTCGCTTCAGTTCTTGATGAGATGAGACGAAGGAGGAGGAGCGCATTGTCATATTTTTGAAAAGAGTAGGAAATGCGCGACAACTAACTGTCCAAAACTTTGGTGTAAATGTAGCATCAGACYGGGACACAGACTAGACGTGCGTCTGAACAGGGAGGAGCGTCTTGTTTTTTTTTTCTGGTCCGTCTTTAATAGTGGATGAAATAAAGATAAAATAAAGAAAATGGCTTTGCTTTATTAATGAAGACCGAGCAAAGGTTTTGCACACCAAATAATTAATTAACCAGATGATTTAGAGGCGGTCTGTTTGGTGAGTTTTGCCACTCCAGGAGCTGCGAGCTGACAACATTTTTGTCCCGAGCCCAGTTTAACGAGCCGCTGACCCGCATCGGTGCTGATATCTCCAGCCAGAACACCAACTACAGACGGTCGATTTCAGATAAAGAGCTCCTGTCCGTCTGTTTCTGGTTAGTGGGCAACATTCAGGAAACCGTCACGTGGAAAAATGAGTCTTTCTGATTGGTTGACACGACGCGTCGAGCAGCAAAAGTTCAAATTTTTTAGCTCGAGCGTCGGCTGCTTTGGACATGCCGAATGCACGGAAAACGCTCAAACCGCACCTACCGCTTCATTACGTGCCACGCTAAATGCTCTAGATGGGTTGCGAGATCCCTAGAGGCGCATCCACCATAGACTTTGCAAGTAAACCGACCTCTCCTGCAGCTCAAAATGCATTTGGTTTGAATAGCATGACTGTCCCAGACCCTAAATTTAACTTCTATTAGCCATACAGCCTATCCCCAACCTCAGTACCTAAAATTATTATTAACCACAGACCCCCAACCCAAAGACCCCTAAATGGCACAACATGGAAAAGCCGTGTGCGGCAAAGACTGATGCGAGGGGGGTGCCCGACGTGTCAAAACTGGATGCAGATGGCACCTGACCAAGCGTCAATATGTTGATGAGTGGAGTGAGAACGTGTTTATGGATATTTTAGTAGTAGAGACGATTCGAGTGACTGAAAGAAACTCCTGAAAAGGGCGAAAGGTTTTCCAAGCAGTTCTGACAGTCAATCAAATGTGAAAAAATAGTTCAAGTTACCCTTTGCATCGATGAAAAACTAAACATGCACAAATAAAGTTGTGAGGAACAGGTGCTATGGGATCAAATTAATCAGATCTATTCCTTTGAATTTCTTTAAAAAACAGTTTTAATCAATCCACCAAGACCGATATTTTATCTTCTTCGTTTCATCATCAGTCCTCTATGTTTTGGGAGGTGTAGCTGCAATGAAACATTAGTTTCATGTTTGTAAATGCTCTTAAAAAATCCTCCCAACTGACTTAGACAGGAAAATGTTTCAGCTGCCCTGTTTGCAGTTACCTGAGCGAATGTCCACTGCTCTTTGCAACTTTGGAAGCTACCGGCTCAGTGCAGCATAGCAGCTGAAAAAGGTTTTCTAACCCAGAAGCTGAACGCCGAGCTGAAGCAGTGCGAACATTAGCCCCACATTCATCATGTGGCCTGGAACATAACTCCAAATGAATAATGGCACTGCCCTGTAACTGCAAGCTGCAACAAAAATGAATTATTGCAGCTCCAACTGCAATTAGCTTGTGTAATCAACAACAATCTAATATATTTATAATTATATGTACTGGGCTGTAATGACTGAGAATGGACTGGGTTTATCATAAAATAAGCAAGAAAATAACATGCAGAACAGGAGAAATTGTGTTTGTTCTGGGCGAGGCACATCAGTTAAATTGATGTCTCTGTTAATGTGAATTCAATAATGTGTTTGTGTAATTTAGAARCCACCTTGTGTAGTCATCAAAAAAAGAAAGAGTTAGTTTTCTTACGACTGTGAGCAAAAGTAAAGGTGAAAGATGTTTTTGTGGATTKCTTCAAGGAGATACAGCTATTCAAATCCTGTGTGATTTTTGGTTTCTGCAGTTTAAAAAAATGCTTTTCTAATTTAGAATGTGACTTTTTTTTTTACAATTGTCACTTTTACCTTCACTTTTCCTTCATGTGCAGCAGAAATCCTAATTGTGCCGCCAACACAGTTTACTTTTAAAACCCGCTGCTTGTCAAAGCAATTTAAAAGCCATAAATCATTGTTTCTTTTACAAATCTGTACCAACAGCTAGATTTTAACGCTGATGAATTGATCAAACCGTTATGAGTTAAATATGCTTCATAATGGCTAAATCTGAGTTGCTGAGATGCAAAAGCTCTAAATTAAAGATCTTAAACACAGTTTCTTCTTTCCAAAACATCCATCTTGCATTTAACATYTCTTTAACCCCACTCAGAAAAACTATTCAACCAAAATATAAGGGTGATGCACTTAAAACGAATCAAAAGTGCTTAAATAAATGATAATGTCTTCAAGGTAAATGGTTGGAAACAACTTGTGAAATCTGAAGCAGTAGTTTTTGCCACTAAATGTATTTCTGATGGAAGTTTGCATGCATTTGATGTCAAAGCAGCTAAAAAGAAAAGTTGTAAAATTTCTAAATTTTATTATTTTATTTTTATGTTTTCAGGAGGATTTGGAAGAAATATGGAGAGAATTGTCACAAGGGAATTCCCAAACTGTACTAATGTCTGAGACACGAGCGCTGTTGCTGAGTAAGTACAGATTCGTGGCGTTTCAGTCGTGCTGAAATAGTTCGCTTTGTTGGAGTTGTTTTCTAAATTTTTATGTCATGCTGATAGCCACCATTGTTCCAAGTCCTTTTTAATTCACATGGATCAGCTAAGTGGTTTCCAGTATCTGTGTGTGTGAACTTCACTGACGAGGACCTGCTGTTTTAAAGGACTGCTGCCATAGATGATAAGTTTTGAACACTGACACAATCCAATTTTGAAAACATTTTACTTCTTTTCTAYACAGATAGTAGACAGCAAAATAAAACATGTCTAATGGTTGAGTAAAATTCTATGAATGTACGGATTTATACAAGAGGAATGTGTAGGATATATCTTATTTAGTAATATAAGTCTGAATATAGATATCTGGTCCTAATAGTGGACAGGCCTTGAAAAAAATACTTTGTTTTGACTTCTAGTGTTTCCTTTATCACACAAATTGAATCAGACTGTAAAATTGTTTCTGTGTAATTCTTTTTTTGCTTATGTTTCTTTTTAGTACACCCTGAGTGTACTCAAAAAGCCTCCATGACATAGAGATGTGATTAATACCTAATGTGAAAAATGTCTAAATTTTGGTATCCTGGAGCTTATATTCTGGTTTTTTATTTTCAATAAAATGTGTTTGGTTTATAGACATAATTCAAATGTGTAAAAATGTGCAAATCTGACTGTTTTGGATGCCTAAAGAAGAGAAACATGTTGGGGTTTTGGTCTGTAAGATAACTTTAATGACTGTTTCTCAAAYGATGAAGGTCTGGCTTAATGAATGTTGATAAGTTGTACATACAAAAAGGAATATTCAACTTTGTTGTAAAAAGTCACCGAGCAGGAAAGTCTTGTGTTTCCATCACATTCAGTCCCACAACAAGCTGTATAACTTTGTTTACTTTTTTTTTTTTTTTACAATAGCATGCCCTAATTATCTGTGATCAAAGACTATATTGGGGTATGTGAGAACTGTACACACATATATATATATTTATGGTGATTTTAAAGTTTACTTGACACATWAAACAAATAATTAAACACATTGTCCAATGGTCTAGTTGTGCAGTCGCTCAAAAGTTATGCATGATCTGATCTACAGTATTGTACCCTCTTTGTCAATGATCTTGTTTTAAACCATATTTCTTACTGTGAGCAAGTTACCATTCTGAAATTGTTCCAAATAAATGTATTTTTCTATGATTTTTTTAAAATAATTTTTCTACTGTGCATGCCCCCACTTTCAAAATGTGTTTTCTTGTACKTTTGTGTTGTCATGATATAAACCTAGAAAAAAAATGAGTCCAAGAAGAYGTGTTCTTCCTACTCTTCCCCAGTCTTATCTGAAGCACAGGTGGCTTGTAAGAGTCAGCGTGTCAGCCTCGACACACCTCTCTAAATGATCTCACCGAGGCACTAAAGTCAGCTTTAATGGGCRGAGGTGTGATAACAGCCATGTGAAGATTCCCATCTGACATTTAGACTGAGCTACCTTTTACCTCTATCGCTCAGGTTGCCTGTTACCAACGCTTTATGTTTAATGGGAACAATTATCGAGGCCTGGGACGGCGATAGGAAACAGACGATCTGGTGAAGGGAAAAAACTCCGGGTCTCTGTTTTCAGATGTCGATGAAACTCTCGGTGACAAATCGGGAGGACAAAAAGAACTTCACACTTCAAAGCAGCGGCGAACTGGCCCCCGTCCTCTGCTCTGCATTTTATTTGCCACTTCAACAACTCTATATCACGTACCAATCTCCATCACTCAAACAGCCATCAGCGCCCCGAGAGTCTTATTCTCGCCTCTGCTCTCTGTCTGAATTAACACCAAGGCCTCTCTCTAACCGCCCTGGGATGTTCGGCGTCGCACAATCAAATTGAACGGTGACAATCACTAATGGATGATTCGCTGCAGCCAGACACTGTAATGTAGCACTCGATGAAAGGAAACATGCTCATCAATTTCACACTGTGGCTAACACAATATTGCTGTGGGTTATTGTTGTGGGACATTTTTCATTCAAGGTGCAATCCAGACAAGGAAAATCTTCTTTGTTGAGTGTGTGTGTGTAGATGTGTGTGTGTGTGTGTGTGTTGATTTCCTGGAGAGGGGATAATTAATTTGTTGCACAGTGGGAGAGCCAAGGAACTAGCCAATTAGAATCACTCCAGGATACTCGGAGCTTTTCATTGTCCTCCCACTCGGCCCCTTTATAACAAGCAAATGGCTGCAGTGAAACTTTGGGCATGCGAAGCAACACTTAGAAATAAGGCAGAGCACACAAAAACATAAATAAAACACAAATCTGACAAAGTAAGGGTGTCTTATGAGTCAAAATTACCCATTTGAGACAGTCAAAGGTGAAGTCGTGAAGATGAAAATTGACTAATAGTCAATAGTCTGACTTAAGTAGCAAAAATTATCAGTTTGTGCTACTAGGAGTGAACTGAACAAGCAGCCACATTGCATTGCTGTTGTTTTTCTGTTTTATTCTGCAATCATGGACACTTCTGCAAGGTCAAATGAAGAACACTGTAACAACCCACTGAATAATCACCTCACTTGGAACGGATGAGGTGTTATAGCCTCTGAAGAAACAGAAAATACTGTAATTCACAATTCTAATCTTTTTTTGTTTTGTTTTCTAGTTAAGACACATTTTAGAGGAAACAAAAAAAACATCATGCAAATATGTTCACAACAGTATTCACAGGTTAATAAGTGGAACTTAAAGAAACCATTAAAGTAAAAGAGAGAGGGGGGAAAAAAGATCTTCTGACGATTTTGTGTCGAGTTCTTCCAAGTCGGAGTTTATTTATGCGTCTGGCTCAATCAGAGGATTGCAAGGAAGAGGTATGGAGAGGCCTCTAGTCAATTTGTCTTCCTGACGTATGATGCTGAMAACACTTAAAAAGAAAAGTTTGATGAAGAAGAACTTCAGTACATATCCCAAAGAGACAGCGGCTGACCAAAGCTGTGTGCGTAGGCTGAGCCGCGTTGACAGGAGATACGTCTTCTCTATCTCCGTGTCCCTCGCAGCGAAGGAGATGAACAAATCTGCAGCCTTTTTGTCCGCCGAGTCCTTGGGGGCAAACCTGGAACTGACTGCAAGCTCCTGCATCAGTTGAAACTTGGGAAGAAAAAAAAAAGGGCAAAACAAACAAAAAAAATAAACTTCTGCTATCATGTTTGGGGGGGATAAACAGTTGGAGGGAAAATAAAAAATAAATAAAGGCTTGGAAAACAACCAATAATAAAAACAAAACGATAGCGCAACCTTCACAGTAATCTCAGTTCAAAGATTTTCTGTGTGTGCCAAGGAGTTCCTTAAACTTTGTGGTGGTAAAAGCAAACAAACTTTGATCTGACGACTAATTAGAAAAAAACATATTTAGAACTTTTTTATAATAATTATTATTATCATTTAGCTGCATTACAGTAAATGCAGCTTTACTTGTCTGAACAGGATTATTCAAAAGCATTTCCATATCATTGTAGAAACCAGAACTTACACGAAAAACACCTATAATTTCATATAAAGCCCACATTTCCAGTCAAAGTGACCACATGAAAAGAAAGCATCACTGCTGTAATAATAAATCTGCAGCATCTGAATGTTTTAGATCAGCCAGTGGTAGATTTGTGATGGTTCAGTGTGACAAAAATGACTTATTTGTGTCTCCTAAACAAGAGGGACTGCTCAGATTAGCATCTTCTGTGTATACCTATCTGCTATAATCTCCTGTTCTTTTTTATTTTCTTTTTCTGTTATGGCATATATAACATTGCGAGCTGTGGAGAGACAGGCTTGATGGAATACACAGATCTGGGACTGGGAGCCCTCCATCATCTCCTGAACATTGYGAGCTTTCATTGGCTGAGAATCTGGCGATAAGATTTACTGATTACAAAGAGCTTAATGAATCCGGCTCCTTCACTGTCTTTACTCAGATAAGCCTGTTCCACGCACACACAAAAAGTAAACTTCACCAACACAAGTTCAAATAAGAAAATAAATAAATAAAGTAGAAATAAGAGAATGATTTGAAACATTATTACACATCCCTGTCGCACGGCTGTTTGGACTTTTCTCATATTTGAGCATTTGCAGCTGTAACCAGCTGAGACACATAACGTTCACTTCTTCCATTATGGATGTACATTATTTACATAAAAAGATCAATGTCCTTGCAAAAATACAAGTATTTCAGTCAAAAAGTGTTCCTTTTCAAGAGGCAAATATAAATCTGTACAGTCTCCTCAGAGGGATTTAGGCAGCACAGTGTGAACTGGTCCATCCATGCATGGGTAGCAAAAGACTCGAGACCATTCATTGTGACCGCAGTTTCCTAGCTCGCTGGAAGTAACTGCCAAAGAAGATGTATTGCTTTCGAGTCGGTCATAGACTTCCAACATTAAAACACATGGGGCGCTTCATCAGAGAGGTTGATGTCTGTGTGAGATGGCAGGTAGCCTGGCGAGGGAGGGAGGGGAGAGAAAAGGAAGAGTCAGGGGAGAAATTTTATTTCGGCATTTGCATAAGAGTGTATTTTTGCAGGCAAACACATTTATCTTGGATGGGTCGATTGTTTACTGTAGGTATGGGAGGAGGTAAATCAACTGGAACCTCGTAGATATTTCTTGATGAAAATGCTTTCACCGCTTCGCCGCCTTCCTGATGCACTAATTATTTTATTGGATCAAATAACTCACCTGGACGTTCTCATCACTTTAGCTGGCACTTGATTGTGCTTCACTTTACCTGTGTATACTAATACCTCCCCACGACAAACTTGGGATGGCAAACGCATAAATATACAGCGCATAATAAAAGCCGCGTCTTGGCAACTTGTATGACAACACAGGAGGRGGAAAGATAGCATCAGCACTTAGCATTAAGTGAATCTCTCTTTGCTGTCAGTGAGTTTAAACTTGTGGCCACGATTCTTCACTGTTGTGACAACTTCTTTTGTGCTGAAAGGTTACTTAGAAATAAATACAGGCAAACTATTCAAAGAGTTTTGACTGAAATGCTGCTGGAGTGAGATTTCAGTTGAAATAATTTAAAGACTAATTTAGCATTCATGCTAAATATGTGGCCACATCTTTGGTCCCTTATAGCTTAAAGCAACGGTTTAAATTGTTTGATTTTGGGGTTCTGAAGTGTTATGAACCATCAGTATCTTACCTGTTGTAGACAGCTTTTTAAATTATGTCAGGTTGGAGCAACCTCAGCAAACAGGGAGTCTGAGCAGGGCTACGAACAAAATCTTACAATAATTCCAGTCATAAGGTTTTATAGTAGTTCCTAYAAAAACCTTTTTATAAACTTTTTATAAGTTGGTTTTGTATTTGATGGATATTTTCAACTGCCACTGAGATAAAGGGGCAATAATATAGTCATATCAATTACTCGATTATTTTACAGATATCAAGCTAAGACTAGTTTTTTTTTTCATTTGTGATGTAAAAACTTAATCCTTGAGTTTTGGAGCTGTTTAACTTACCGGTATGTCCCAAAAAGAGCCTGATTTCTTCAGTAAAATAATTAATTGTTCTAAAGATTGTTCTGGATTAGGTCAATAGAGCAACATATCATCAGCATATAATGAGTTAGTTAAACTTATTCCTCCCATTAAAATATGTTTAACATTTTGGTTTTCAATAATCCATTTGATGAAGAGCAAATAACTGGGGGCTAAAGGAGCAACACTGCCTCGAACCTCTTTTTAACCTGAACAGTTCAGATTTAAGCCCATTATCTTTAAACTGAGCTAAAATTTGGTTTTAGCTCAGCTTAAGGATAGCTGCCTTAGACTATCCTTAAACTGAGCTAACTTCAGCCTAACCTGTGCCAGTAGCTTASATTTATTCCAAACACACACTCTGAGTCCAGACATTTCAAGCAAAACCCATTTTAAAACTTCAATAACTACTAGAGTCAACTTTATCTGTAAACAAAATATCTCATGAAACATGAAACAGATTTTAATGAAGCTTTCAWWAAGTAGTGGGGTTGAATCAGCMGATTACCTTTTAGAGTCAACCCAGTCCAAGACGGTCCCCACAGCCAATTGAAAGGACAAGAAAAGGCTGAAACTCTGTCAATTTAGTGTGGCAGTAGTTTGGAGTTTTTCCCAACACATTCTGAGAACTAATAAGTCACTGATAGAAGTGTAAAAATTAGTAAAAATGTTCACATGAGATGTTGCAAAATCCATATTGATCTTGGTCCCATTCAGACTAGCTGTTACCTCATCAATATGGTCAGAAATAAACTATTTCTCCATAATGACGCCATTCAAAGAGCAATATATAACAGGTGAGATTATAACTGTTCATTCCCACAGAATGTCTCTTTAAAATATTTGAACTACTTATTGATAATCCAGTTCTCTGAAKCTCTGTTACAGAGCTCTAATATCAAATAGCAAAGTTTGTACAGACGTAAAGTAATGACYGCTAACTTCAACCTAAACCATGCCAGCCAACAAAGGCTTTTAGGCATTGAGTGGTTTTTCTTTACTTTTTATGGAAAAGAAAATCTAAAATTTAGTCAAACATACAAAACAACCACCTAAACATTTAGGTTCATCTTTCAGAAGGCAACCTTTGACCTAATACGGTCAAAGGCTTTCTCTTGCTAGTTTTTCCAATGTGGGTGCAACTCCTGCATCACTTTTACAGCACCTAGTGTTCCCACGTGCCTCCCATCCAAGTACTGACCAGGCCCAGCCCTGCTTAGCTTCTAAATAAATAAATAAAAATAAATGCCTTAATAGAAAAGATGTTACATGAATCATCTTCACAGTCTATAGCAGTGGTCTCCAAACTACGGCCCGCGGGCCGAGTTCGGCCCGCCTCTCCATTTGGTCCGGCCCCCAGAACAATACCAGAGTGCATTTAGTTTTTTTTCATATATGTGTATTTATGTTTGATTATAAAGTTGGACTTTTGCAATAAAATGTTCCTTAGTCATGAACTATTTTCATTATTAACTATTATTAGTTAGTAAGTATTTCATTCATACACACATATAACGTGACATTCTGTTCCACCCTTCTGCGGTCTGTGCCCCTATCTGGCAACSCCCAGAAAAAMATCCTAAACCCGCCCCTCTCAAARAGAGAAYVGAATAATGGYGAAAAGATTAGGTAAGAGAAAAATTGATTCAGAATGCARGGCATTTAAGCTGCAGTGGACAAACGATTATTTTTTGTTCATCTGTAAAGAGGCGGTGGCATATTCAAAGAATACAATCTGTGGCGACTCTATGAATCACATCACAAAGACAAGTATGATAGCTTGCAAGGCCAAATGATAGCAAACAAACTCTCAAAGCTAAAAAGTGGACTGTTAGCTCAGCAGAATACATACTGTGAAGAACCCAGCGAGGGTTATTTGATTGTGCTTTCTGGAAAACAATAAATTTTTACATTTAGGCACTCCTGCAAAAGTCATACTTTTTCTGTTACAAACTGACTCCGGCCCCCCACCAGAGAAGGGAAAAGTCATGTGGCCCTTACAGGAAAAAGTTTGGGGACCCCTGGTCTATAGTTTTAACTTTAGTCTGGATTTCCTGCAAGTCATTCTGAAAAAAATTAATACTGTCAGTCCTGCATTAAAAAGCATCTCTGTATTTGTCACGCTTGTAATTTAAATTTGGAACCACATGATCGAAGTGTAGAGTGGACATACAGTGTATTTGTGACTTCTCTGAATACATTAAAACTTTTTGCGTAGAAAATGCTTTAATTTTACATGACAAACTTCTTTTCTGTACTCTAAATTAAAAATTCTATTTATTGTCTGAAGTTAGTGATGATTCGATTTTAAACGCAGGTACTCGTGCAGCAGCTGTCGGAAAAGCGAACAAATTTTACGCTAAATGAAGAGCAGGCTTTTACTCTCCAAYGTGAGCTGGGAAACAGACCTTGCAGCATCAAACTGAAAACCAACACATCGGTACCTCTGTTTTTTGAGTTCAKCTGTGTATCCACATGGTCCAGGGAGGTCAGGCTGTCCCCCTCAGGGTTTGGGACGGCTATGGAGGTCACTGTGGGGATGACCTCTTGTTCTTTATCCGGCTGCTCCGCCGTGTAAGTGTTCATGCCTGGGATCTTCCTGCAGGTCATGCAGAGTGGAGGTTTAAAGGGAAAAAAAAAAGAGGAAAAAAAGGCACATTAATGGAAATCTGCCATCAGGTCTGATTTGCAAATGCTTTCACCAGGCATAATGTGTCACACACTATTTTTAACAGTTAAAGATGGCAGAGGGTTGTTTGATAGTTGTGTGTGGGGGGGGACTGGGGTATTTTGCATTCCGCCAGGCGATGCGCTCTCACTTTCATATTGTTCACCTCGGTTTTCAATCAATTTTTCATCCCCTCAGACGCATTCCCAATTCTGCTTAAAACTAACTTCTTGCATTTCTAATTCCACGTTTCTCCCTCGCGACTTTGCGCCGCAGCTGCCGCTGTGGCATTTGGAGGAGCTTAAGAAGCCCGAACTTGATTTATTAATGTCGCAATTACGGTCCTGAAAGTCGAAGTTAAGTAACGTTTTACTTTATAATGAGCGGAGGAAATCAAACGTTCTCCCGTGATTGGCACGGGATTACCTGCAGCTGAAGCTACTATTTACTGTATGCCCCTCACTGTATAATGTATGTTGTCTCAGGACTTATCTCCTCAACCTTTCCTGCCATTCTGCTGCGCATGCCTCACCTTCAACGGCTGTGTTTAGCATTTCTGAAAGGTCAAGCCTCACGTTGACAGATAGATGAATATTGATAACTGCAGGACTCTGACACCCATTCGGCGCTCAGGGAGAATTGATTAGGCTGTCATTCCCTGTAATATTCTGCAGATTGAGACAGAGGGGAATTGTTTTATTCCTCCGGCTATTATTGTGTTGCGGGTGTCCACAACCCTGTGATATATGGAGACTGAATTGTGGGAAGTTTTACGGACTTCAGTGGTAAAAAAATAAAAAGTCCTTGTAGATCAGTGGTTCCCAAACTTTTTTTCTCATGACCCAAAAAATATCCATGGCAAAAACTTGTGACCCCAAATATTACACGAACTTTTTTAATAACCCTAAAAACACAGGCTTTTTGACAACCTAAACAGCTTGTACACAAATACAAATATTTATACTTTTTTGTGTGTTTTTGCAATAGTTATAGGGAAAATATTACATTACATTACCCTTTAATTGATTTCTGGGGATCATCCAAGGTGCTTCATGACCCATAATTGGGTCCCAAGCCCAACTTTGGGAACCAAAGTGCACTGGTTCCAAAACTTTTCAGCTTTTGACCCACAAAATAACAGTAGCAGAGACCTGTGCCCCCAACTACTTTTTGGATGATAAACATTTGTATCAAGTCAACTAAACATGGGCATAGCAACAATATTTTTATACTACATTTATCCATTTTAAATACACTAACCTCACTCCTTTGTAACAATTAAGACAAAAATGTAATTAATTCCGAAAATCTTTTCAGGACCCCAACTTGATGTTTCGGGACCCCACTTTGGGTTCCGACCCCAACTTTGGGAAACTGTTGTAGATAATGCAAGCAAAAGTGGTCCGATTATAATTTCTTTTACCGTTTTCACTTTACCTTTTAAATTTATATATTACAAAGATGACCAAGCCCATCAGTGCCACTGACACGAGCATGATGACCGCAGTGCTGCTGTAACCACTGTCACTGCTGTCCACAAGAGGAGCTTTACAGGAGGGGGAAAAAGGAGAAAATGAGCTCATATGGAAACCAAAATGAACAATGTGTTTTATATAAGTAGGAGCAACCAGTGGGTAACATAAAAACAAATAATGCAATAAGTCATTCTGCTTAATTAAAGATCAGGCAGTCSTTTGCTTCCAGCTGCAGACTCACCTGGAGACAATCGTGTGGCGAACACGTTCACCTGCACCCCCGGCCTGAGTGCAAACTGAACCAGGTCTTGGTTCAGAGCACTTAGCAGCACCTGGGAAAGCTGCRAGCAGGAGAGAGGGACACCGTCAGCTGCAGCCGTACACCAATATTCCACAGTCATCAATATTTCAGCCACATTCACTCCAGCCAACAGCCTGAATTATGAATCCGAATTTTTGTTTCCTTCTAAAGAGGGGGCAAATTTTTATATGACAACACGCAAAAACCAAACCTGCTGCTCTGAAATCCAACAGGCTTCAAAGACGATAAAAAAACTGCATTCAAGTAAAAGGGCAGCATGCTTGTAGTGCAGCAGTGACATTTAAAATAATGTTAAACTTTTTTTTTGCTACTTCTGCCACGCGGGGGGTTTATTCTCCAGTATTCAGTCCGTGTAAGTATTCTGAGGAGAATCACCCTGTTCAAAAGTTCAACGAGGCAGTGTTACAGAAAATCAAAGTATGTTCTAATATCACAAAATTGCTGTTTTAATTGTTTCTCCCTTAAGTGCTCAAAGTTCCTTAGCTTTTTCACACCTTGATGAAACAGTCATTTTAACAAGGGACCAAAATGCCTTCCCGATGCACATTTGAGTCCTTAGCCATGCCTCACTAATTCCATCTCACTCTTCTGAAAATCTTTCCACTGGTTAAAATTAGACTGCTCTACACAGCATGAATAATTACTTTTTGTTCTAGTGGCATATCAGGGTCAGTAAATCTATTACACATTTTAATAAGCCGCTCCACGCATACACACTCGCYGCGCATGCACGCGCCCGCGTTGCGTGTGTGGGCACTCGCTCACTTAATGCCTCCGCACTGAAAGCCATTCACTGGAGATGAGAACAGTGAACTGAAGATTTATTACCCTATTGTCTGTGAGGTTCTGCCAGGTAATCAGACAGGCTTTAGATAAATACATCGCTTTAATTCCCAATCCCAGCAGCCTGCCCCAGTTTGTCTCCCTTCTCGACGGTGCCAATTATATGATGCATCAATGTAATTAAATACCTATTAGCTTAGTTCAAGTCTGACTGAGAGCCAGCGAAATCATGTTTGCTTGTAGAGAAGAAATGAGCTTGTCTGTGCTGTGCTTTGGAAAAAAAAGGCTCTTTCTATTATTTTGTTTACCTCTTTGATGCCTTTAAATATCACAATACAAGATAGATTTCCAATAATCCTATTTTGCCAGGAGAAAATACTAACAACCATGTGGCACCCTGACTAGTAATGATCATGTTGTTGATTTTATTTAATTGTTCRTGCGAGGCTAAAACTTCTGAAGGGCATCACAGTGCCTTATGACTTGTGTTTATATCGTTTCAGATTCGGTCCTGTTGTGTAGGGCAATATTGCCCTCTAGCGTTGGGATGAAGTATTGCACTTTAAACAGCTGAAATAAAAAGACAAAAAAAAAACACTAAATCGTTTGAGATAAAAAAGAACTGATTGGCTCTTCTGTGACACAACTGCAAACAGGAAGAGAAGGGATATTCTTTAACTGTGAATGAAAAAAAAATCTAAATGAATTATTTAGCTTTGTGCTGSATAATTGATTGATTATGAAACCACACGCAGAGAGAAAGATTGAGAAGAAGCTTCTGCATACTGCGTTAGGGAAGCGTATTGGGCTGGTCCTAAAAATATGGAGCTGTGTGAGATGAGATAGATGTCCCCGCACGCTGAGAACAATGAGCCCATCGAAAACACATTCCTCTTCTTCTCTGTGTGATTACTTAATGGACCACACTGGAGTTTGTGCATGTTTTAGCCCAATTACAGAAAAAAAAAATACAATGTACAGTCCTCATTACTGCTGACCTTTTCCGAGGCACGCCATGATTCTTTTCTGCCCACCCTTGCTGCCAGCGGCATCTATTTTATTTCACCGTGGTGTAAAAACAACAGCGCAGACTTTAAACCTGGCTGCCCTGGACCATCGATCACAATGAGCATCACGCCTGCATCTATTTTTGTCAGCGTTAACCTTACAATTGTGTCGATGGCAGATTCTCCAAATCAAGGAGCACTAAAAAACATGTTTGCATGCAATAAATGCGCTGAAGAAAACAAGAGCCGACATTGTTCTTATTGTGATGTATCGCTGCACCAGAACACGTTCAAAGTCTTCCCAAAATTATGTTCAGGTCGAACTAAAGTAAATCCAAAAGTGAGACTCTAAAAAAAGGATGAGAAAAGAGTGTTTTTAAAGGGAAAACAAAAGAAAAGGTTTTGCTCATTAAAACTGGATTTGCTGGATTTGTACCTAAATAAACAACGCAGTGAAGGAGACGTCTGCATGTTTGTTTGTTTGTTTTGGATTAATGAGCTTTTATCCTTTGATTTAAGAACTGCGAACAGTTCAGGTAGAGACGTAATCATTTCTTTTTAAACCTTTTCTGGGGATGTGCTTCTAATCTGCGACACCATTAAAACTCCTGAAAGGTGAAGTGAGAACATTTCTCTCATCACAGGAAACTCACCTTACCTGGCATTATTACTCAGGCCTCTGCGCTCTGATATCATTTTTAAGTACTAAAATATCACTTAATGTACCTTAATTAATCAATTTCAAAACTGTTTAATTAAAAATTTAGACTAAAGTTGGTGTACCTTTGGTTGGTGCAATATTCATTTTAAGTCAAGAAAAGACAAGCACAAATAGACAGTAGTACATGTTATACAGTACGTACACAAACATATAAAACTATATAACACATACAGTGTGTAAATTACATTTCGTACAATTTCCTAACAACTGAAGGCAACAAAACCATCTTCTCTCTGATTGGATTTGTGATTTGTTGTCATCGTCCAGTCAGATGGAGCTTCATAGACCAGCCCTTAATGCAGCTACAGCTTCAGAACCTCACTCAAAGGGTGGAAAATTTAACTTTTTTATTTGTAAAAATCCTTGCAAAGACAACGTATTTGTGTTTTTAGCATCTTTGTGTCACCCCTTAATTTTAAGGAAATTCTGCACGCACACAACTTTGAAAAACTGCATTTCTCAAGAAATGTTAATGTGTTGAAGCTGAATGTTCAACTCTGGAATCTTATTATACGAACTGAAAATCTCAACTGATAAACAAGTAAGCAAGTAAGCAGACACAGTAAGTCACATAATTGCGTTTCAATATTCTCTAGAGATATTTCATGTTTTGTTTTCTGTTTTTTTTTGTTTTTTGTTTTTTGTTTGTTTTTTTTTTTGTTTTTTTGTGGAGGGGGGGTCAGAAATTACATATTTCAGGAACTTGGAAATGATATGATGAAACAGTACCTGATCCAGGTGGGTCCATTGTTCATTTATGGCTCTGCCTTTTGACCTCCTCTCTGGTACAACAAAAACTTCAGCTGTAGTCGGTAAACCAGGAAGCACCGTGACCAAGAGCTGATTCTCACTGATTCCTGTGACCTTTAATATTAACATAAAAAACCTCATTAGGAAAGTTTGTAATTGACACAGTTTGCAGGCAGCAGTTCAGCCCTAAAATTCGCCTGTTGAGAATGAACTTTCTGTSCTTTTTGTGCCGAATATATTGCTTGCCTAAACAGCAGTCAGAGTCAAAACATAATTGCTGGATCAAGTAGAACATGCAAGTTCAGTTTGACAGTTGCTGGTAAAGGCCAGGCCTTTTAGTGCATTTACGCCGTGACCGGAGGTCTAATGTCAGTTTCCTGCTGTAAACTGTGGTGAAATCTGACAAGACARAAGGTCAAAGTGAATGTTTCATACTGAGGGCTACTGTTGGATATATATAGAGCAGAGTCTTTTACATAACCTGGCTTAAATTGAAAATCAGACACACTTAACCACAGTTTGGCAACCATTCCTTGTGGTTTCTCCTCAATTTGCTAAAAACTTTCTTTAATGTCCAATTTTCCAGATGATCTGAAGCTTTTATCTGAAACTCATTAGACTGAGCATGTATAAACACAGCAGGGAGGGATTTATGTTGCTCAAGCAGACTGCAAACAACCTGAATAAAAGCGCGTGGGTTAGATTTATTTCTGATAACACTGTGTTATGGTCTGTTTTTATTAGCATCAGTTACCGACCTGGACCATGCAGCTTTTTACAACTCTGCTGATGTCTTCTCTCCACTCAGACACCCCGGGGTTCAGCTCGTCCAGATTAGATGAAAAGGCCAAAGAATGCGAGCGGAAATAATCTAGGAAATTTAAAAATAATAATAAATTAACAAAAGTAAGCATTTTCTATGACGATGAAATGTGGAAGCTGAGTGCTAAAAGAGTTTGCTGAAATTTTGTGAAGAAGCTGAACTTGAATTGTCAACATTTCAAGCAGAACAGAAGGAAAACTAGCAAAACCATAGCCAAAACATTAAAATGACCACAACAGTGGAAAACAAATTCCATTAGCGCTACAAACATTAAAATATAAATGACCAAATAATATCTAAAAGTTGCAAAACGGTAACTAAAAGGATAGCTAACTAATAAAGTGTTAGCTAAAAGTTAAAATGAGCTAAAAATGAGCAAAACCATACCATTTTAAAAACATTTTAAATTTTAATTCATTTAATGAAACCAAAAAAGTTAAAGGTAAATATATATAAAAAACAATATATAAAAATTACAAACACCAAAAGTCATAGTATCGTCTTGAATAAGCTGAAAGATTTGATACAGGAACCATTAAAACGGCTGAAAGTGTTAGATTTTCAAAATCTACACAAGAAACAATAAACATGAAAGCTATGGTTTAAATGCATTCAGATATTATTAATCTTCTGTGGAGTCTGCAGACAGAAAAATTAACTTTTTTTTCCTGAACGTCTCTTCTGTTTCTGTGACCTTCTAACTTCATTTTGAAAATCTGCAGTTGATCCCTGTGCGTACAACATAACTAATACCTAAAGTCCTCATTTTATTAGCTATGACCAGACAAGAGATTAAGGAGTTGCCATGAAAAAAAACTTTTAATTTAACACTATTGATTGAAAGAAAATCAACTGCTGCTCACTGGAGACCTGCAATACTTGGTTTTTATACAAACTGCCATTATAAGAAACATTTTATTTCTATTTTTCCAAAAACAAAACATACAACATTTCAACTATTTTCTGTAAAAATAAAACCATTTTAAAACTAAAATTCACCAAAATAACTGGYTTTAATCCCTGTTACCAGCAAGTAATTAAGGACAAGATCTAATTGAATTATTTCTTATTTTGGAGTGACTAAATGTCATTTTCTATTAGAAATGCAGCTTTCATTTTATTACTTAATCTTGGAAATTAAATTAGTGAAAAGTACGAAACGTTTTCACATCACCTGTTGAGGTCAGGGGTTGTTCACTGAAGATATGTTCAAATAAATGTATGAATAATCAAATAAATCAATTTTTAAAAATGCTGTATCCTAATCCTTTAAAGTTTCTTTTTTTCTACATGTTAATTTATTTAGTTTTTGTAGAGATTTTTGAGCCTGTGGCCTTCATTAAAAAAAAGGGCTTTTATCCGATGAATATATTAGACTGTACATATCACAGTTTTGTTCAAATTGCTCATAGATTTGATTTTTAATTAGCTTTAATAATTTTCATGTGGTGGCAAGAGCTGCATCTATGCAGAATGTTAAATGGAAAAATATAAAATATATATATTTTTACGGTCCTAAATGATGTCTGCTTCTCTGACCACCACAAGATGGCAACAGTAAATCACAGACAACAAAATTCCCTCTGCGCCGCTGAACACTGATCAGTGAGTAACTTTTACTCACTGTTGTTGAAGCAACTCACTCAGACTTCAGTTTATTGTAGCTAMACTACTTATGATTTATTATTGCCTGCCAACCAAAGGCAAAACGACGTTGCTCTTGTCCGCATCTGCAGTTGTCTGTTAGCAAACTACCTCATAAACCTCTGAACTGAGATTAATCACTACATGTACAGCTACAAATGATAACATTTGAATTTTATAAATATTGAAATCGAATTTGGTGTGATGGTAGCTGGGAGTTTTCCCTACTCATAATAAGCATTTGAAAAAGAAAACATGCAATTTTTTTTCAAAAACCCAATTTTTTAAGCCATTTTCTCACTCAGATTTTATTTAGTAATACAAACGATAATATAAAAAATATATATATACCATAGACTGCTACAGTACTTTGGTCCTGATGGACAGTAGTACCAGCTGAAGCCTGAACAGTAACAGTGTGGCTTCCCTCCTTGGAGAAAGTGAAAGAAGTGGCTCCATCGAGGGTCACGACAGGCTAAAAGGCAGAGACGTGACATCAATATTTTACCCTCGTCGATCTCAGAAAATTGACAGAACGGCATTGAATGTTTAASGTGAGCTTGCCTCCGTTTTGTTCTCAAACCACCAGAAATAAGTGACGGTTCCCACGTTACTCGGGTGCAAGGCTGTAGTGAAATTCACTGCTTTGTTCTTGACAACCACCGAAGGAGCCGAGAGCTGCACTTGCTCAAGTTGACCTTTAGAGAGAAAACACACAAAGTTCAGAGTCTCACCTTTTATTAAAATGTTGCTAAAAATGAAGGCCTCCCTGGTGCCTAAAGTCTCAACAGATGCAATCTGTTTAATGATATTTTGGCACAAACACAACCACCAGGAACACACTGAGGTCGCTGATGGATATGTACTGTATTTGCTGCAGAAGAGGTTGGACAAGAGTCTGCAGACAATATTTTATTGTATTTTATTCATGTTTTTAATGTTAAAATATTGTTGCCATTGGAATCTATTTTAAAAGAGCTGAATTGGAAATGGCTTATTGAGCTTCTACGTATATTGCCATAATGAAACAAATATAGGTGTAAGAAATGCATACACAACAGGACACATGATGAGTTTCAGTTTTCAATAAACTTGCACCCTAAAGAGACTATTTTTCTTCTTATGATTAAACACTGACAAGTTACCTACATACCAAAATTTTGTCTGGCCCAGTTCTGGGCCACACAATGAACTAACCCTCGACCCAGATACTACAAAGAAGGATGCTCCTTTAGTGTCCCAGATGTGATTTTTTTAGAGGTAGTCCATGTATGGGCTAGCACCACATAAACAAAACCCCAACCGGGCCAGTTGTGGCATGCCATGTTAAAAACAGTGCCATCATTGCCAGATCTGGCCCACATCCAGCTGATAAACTACTTGCCATGCCATCAGTCAGCCAGCAGCGCCAGCTTGACACCAGCTCTGTCCCAGTGTTGCTAGATGGGACATGGTAAATTGTTGCACTGTGCCTTTAATGTTATYGTATTTTATTAATTTATATTTTCAGATCTTCCAAGGTGCCATTTATGGAACTCTCTGTGCATTGTTGCCCAAATCAAATTCTGGAAGTGGTCATTCAACTAGATCTGTTACAAAAGGACAATTGATATTACCAACTTTTAAAAACTGTTACGGCCAGAGGTCTTTCTTCTATGTTTATACTAAARCATGGAATGACATTCCTCAAAACATAAAGTCCATTTCAAAACTACAGTCCTTTAAGAAGAATCTTGTCTGCCATCTGCTGGAGACATTTTGTTGTGCTCATATTTAGACGTCCTATTTTGCAAATGCTGCCTTTTTGAAATTTGGTATGCTTGTTTGTCTTTGTGTCTATGGTGTATAATGATGTGACTGTGATGCTGTAATTCTGAGTGTTTTATGTGCTGCAGAACAGGAACCTGCTGTAAAACAGCAATTATGCTGAGTCAGGCTTGATTTTTAATAATCTTTTCCTGTTAAATAAATAAATCAAATCAAATCAAATCAACCCAAACTTTCCTATAAGCTGAGAAGATGAGGTGTGTATTGAGTAAAGGTAAAGGTACTTTACTTGTCATCCAATACATGTTCCCATACAATAACAAAATTTGTGCTCTACATTTAACCCATCACACGTGAGAAACACCCAACTGGAGCAGCAGGCAGCCATGTGAGGTGCCCGGGGAGCAGTTGGGGGTTGGGTGTCTTGCTCAAGGACACCACGACATGTGGGCATGGCAGGAGTCAAACCTGTGACTTTTGGATCCCTAGCTGGCTGCTCTACTACTGCACCACAGCCGCTTTGGTGAAAATGTGTAAACAAAACGAGGGGCAAACAAACAAATTGTTGTTTTTATCTGGCAACCCTGTCCAGCCATCCATTATCTATACCTGCTTCTTCTTTTCAGGGTCACGGGGGTCACTGGTGCCCATATCCAGCAGTCACTGTGCGAGGGGCGGGGTACACCCTGGACAGGTCACAAGTCCATCAGAGGGCCACATAAAGACAAATGACCACTCACTCTCACCTAGGGGCAATTTAGAGTCATCAATTAACCTAACGGTCATGTTTTTGGTGTGTGGGAGGAAGCTGGATTATCCGGAGGAAACCCACGCATGCACAGAGAGAACATGCAAACTCTACCCAGAAAGGTCCCGGGGATTTGATCCGGCGACCTTCTTGCTGAGAGGCATCAGCTCTACCAACTGAGCCCCGGTGCTGCCCTTATTTGGCTACATGATGAATTTTAGCAAAAAAAAAAAAAAAAGAAGAAGAAGAAGAAGAAGAAGATCAGTGGCTGTACATCTACAACCATTCAACTTTAGGAGTCACCACTAGCCAAAACAAATATGCTTAGAATTTAATTAAACATCTAGCTAAAATTTGGTGTGGTAGTAGCTGAGAGTCATCCCAACACATTTTGAGACCTTGTAATACTGTATGAGATTGCACATAATAATCTGTTTAAAACTAATGTGAGCCATATGCATTTGTTTAGGGAATGCATAGCCTTTTATCCGTTTATTTTTACTATGATAAAGGGTGTAAATTAGTTTGTAATGTAGTCATGTTATTATATTTACTAAATAAATTAATATTATAATGAGAAAAGGAATATGCACAAGCATGCCCTCTCTGACACTGAATCCATCCTTGAAGTATTTGCATGTTTTAGCACCGACCACGTGGCTTTTCGCYGAAACTCACAGGAAACATGAAGGTAGAGAACGACCCTGTCCAGGCCGAGATTGTTGCTCGCTGTGGCCGAAACTTGGTAGATCCCAACTTTGCCGTAAATGTGCTTGACCCCGTCTTCGATAGAGCTTATGTTAACGTAAGATATGGCCGTTCCGTCTCCGAAGTCCACCGTTATGCTTGTCATGGAGCCAAGACCCTTCGAAAAGAGGGGGGGAAATAGTACATAGTCACACAGGAATGTCAGCTGTTTGTCAATGTCCTTGCTTACTTAAAACGGAGTGCACTTTTCATAAAAGCAACAAGAACGAGGTCATCTAATAAATCATGTCAGTGCATATTTATGGTCCAGTCACTTTGCATGGTTTGTGACAGCATCTTGGTATAAGCTACAGTATATTAAATAAAACCATGCAGCGTGACTCTATAGATATACAGTAGGAGCTGATGTTTGATGCAAAGTGTGAAGGTAGAGTCCAGTGATTTGCTTCTTTGAAGGACATTTTGTTTATTTTAAACCATGACCTATATTGAATTTTGGACAAAAAGGACACATCAGAGCTGTGGTTTTATTGTAGGAAGGTTTCCAGATATGTAGTTCATATTTTGAAAAAGTCCTAAATTAGGTCCAAACATGACCCTAAACTTCACCAGTATTTTCTGCAGAAATTTTGACTAAAACTGATACTTWTAGAAGAAAATATTTTTTTTCATATTGCAGCAAGATTTACATTATTTTAGCTTTGTGCCCAGGTAATCAATGGGTTTTGATATATTCCTCTACTCACTGTTAATTAAAATCTCTCCATCATACTGCTTCTGCCTGCTGCAGTTTTTTTTTAAGAATTTCTCACCCTTTTGTTCATCAAGCACAAACAATTAGGACATTTTTTTTCTCTTGGCAAACTGGCATAGTCAGGGGATTGTAAACCTTTAGAAAAAATCACACATTATGAATTATTTAAATGCTCTATCCCTTTAAATTTTGTATTATGAAAGGACAATTGCTATGAATAAATGTCTAAAAGAAAAATGCTTGAGAAAAAAATGCTTTTCAGTAGCAAATTTGTCTTTGAGTTTAGAGAATTTTGACGATTTTCTTAAAATGTTTCGATTTTAAAATTCGACACCAGTTTTTCTAAGTCAGCAAACACTCCTGTAATCATTATTTTATTCAGATACAGTGGGGTGTGAAAGTTTGGGCAACCTTGGTGATTTTCCTGATTTAGCTTTATGAATCATTGATTGTTTGGATTTAAAAAAATCAGTTAAATATTTCATATAGGGGACAAACACAGTGATTTGTATTTGAGAAGTGAAATGAAGTTTATATGATTTACAGAAAGTGTGCAATAATTGGTTAAACAAAATTAGACAGGTGCATAAATTTGGGCACCATTTTCATTTTATTGATTTCAAAACCTTTAGAACTAATTATTGGAACTCAAATTTGGTTTGATAAGTAAGTTCAGTGACCCTTGACCTCCATACACAGGTGACTCCAATTATGAGAAAGGGTATTTAAGGTGGGCAACTGTAGGTTTTTCTCCTCTTTGCATCTTCTTTGAAGAGTGGCAGCATGGGAGTCTCAAAACAATTTTCAAATGAGCTGAAAACAAAGATTTTTCACCGTCATGGTTTAGGGGGAGGAAACAGAAAGCTATCTCAGAGATTTCAGCTTTCAGTCTCCACTGTGAGAAACATTGGGAGAAAATGGAGGACCACAGGCACAGTTCAAGTCAAGGCTCAAAGTGGCAGACCAGGACAAATTTCCAATAATCAGAAGCGAACGGGATGTTGAGAACAGTCAGAGTCAACCCACAGACCAGCACCAAAGACCTACAACATCATCTTGCTGCTGATGGAGTCACTGTGCATCGTTCAGCTATTCAGCACACTTTACACAAGGAGATGCTGTATGGGAGAGTGATGCAGAGGAAGCCTTTTCTCCGCCCACATCACAAACAGAGCTGCTTGAGGTATGCTAAAGCACATTTGGACAAGCCAGCTTCATTTTGGAATAAGGTGCTGTGGACTAATGAAACTAAAATAGTTATTTGTGCAGAACAAGGGCCGTTATGCATGGAGGAAGAAGAACACAGCACTCCCAGAAAAACACCTGCTACCTACAGTAGCATTTGGTGGTGGTTCCATCATGCTGTGAGGCTGTGTGGCCAGTACAGGGACTGGGAATCTTGTTAAAGTTGAGAGATGCATGGATTCCAACCAATATCAGCAGATTCTGGAGACCAATGTCCAGGAATCGGTGACAAAGCTGAAGCTGCTGAAGCCGGGGCTGCATCTTCCAACAAGACAACAACCCTAAACACTGCTCAAACTCTACTAAGGCATTCATGCAGAGGAACAAGTACAACGTTCTGGAATGGCCATCTCAGTCCCCAGACCTGAATATTATTGAAAATCTGTGGTATCACTTAAAGAGAGCTGTCCATTCTCAGAAACCATCAAACCTGAATGAACTAGAGATGTTTTGTAAAGAAGAATGGTCTAAAATACCTTCAGCCACAATCCAGACTCTCATTAGAATCTATAGAAAGTATTTAGAGGCTGTTATTTCTGTGAAAGGAGGATCTACTAAATATTGAGTTAAGTTTTTTAGTTTTTTATTTATTTACTTTTTTGTGTGTGCCCAAACTTATGCACCTGTCTAATTTTGTTTAAGCAATTATTGCACATTTTCTGTAAATCATATAAACTTCATTTCACTTCTCAAATATCACTGTGTTTGTCCCCTATATGATATATTTTACTGTTTTTTTATCCAAACAGTTAATGATTAATAAAGGTAAATCAGGGAAATTAACAAGGCTGCCCAAACTTTCACACCCCACTGTATTTAACTCAGTTCACTCAGTGAAAGTCCTATTTTATTACCAATAAACTGTTTATTTTTCTGATGCTCAAAGACAGGATATTTAACTGACTAAATTAACAATCTGACAAACAGAAACCTTAATCCATAATCTGACTGGCTTTGATTAAATATTCACACACTGTTGCTGTGTTGTATTTAGTTTTTCAAGCATGATTCAGAAAAAAGTGCTGACTACATTCTAGTATAATCTGACATTTGCACCAGCATAGATGGATCAGCAGRAATATTTTGTCACAAAGCAAAAATAGTATGTTTCAGTCAGTTTTACAGATACTGAGCTAAAATGTAGTGGGGTAGTAGTTGAGACTGATCTCTAATACATACTTTAASAGCTGACAAATTGCTTTGTTGAAACTGAAACATTCACCTCTTCCAGAAAAACCAAGAAGGTGACATTCCTCCCCAGCGTGGCTACAAGTGTTCCCTCGCTGGTGAAGAGCTGGAGGCCTCTGGGAGCCTGACTGGGACACTTTTGGTGCCTCGGGCTGTACTTCAGCACACTTCCCTCAGTGCAGTTGTTCGTCAAAGCCTTGCGGTATCTGGAGTTGAATTAACAGAAGACACAGATAAATGCTGCATGTGACATAAGCTCAAACTGGGAAAAGCATGACATTGAAGGGGAAAAAAGCAGACAGTGATTTTTTTACATTTGCCCTATTTTTTGCATTATGCTGAGTGCTTGACATCAACTTCATTTCATTTGTTAATCTACAGATCTTCAACAGCACATTTGGGATGGAGGCAGTTTAGGACCAGTAATGAAAAACAGATGTTCGTTCAAACTGGTAATGCCTATGGGTGTACAGTATGTAATCATGGTTTAATGCAAAGGTAGTTTAAAGGAAAGAAAAAGGCTGTGACTTAAATGAGCAAAGACGAATAAAAGGCATTTAGTTTGTCAAAAAAATGGGCTGCTATATTGTTAATATGTTTAAAAACAATGTTCCTATGCAAAGGAATTTGACATTTTTTCCTTTATGTTGCTTGATAATAGGGTTTGCCGATAAAACAATAACGATATACAGTATATCCTGATGGACACATGATCAGTATCAATAGTAAATACAACCGATCAAATGTTAACAATTTCACTGAACTCTGAGCCAGAATTTGACATTCTGGGGGATATAGGCAAAAGAAAGGCTTTGAAATGAGTGCAACAGCTCCAGAAGAAATTGTGGATAAAAGAGGAAAGGTCATGTCACCACTTTAAAAATATTAATCATCCTTTTATCTCCTGGTCCTTATTTCAAATAGCTAAAGAAAAAACTAACAAATAATTATTGATATCAGCTAATCTGAAATGCTTAAATCATGATACATTAATCAGCCTTCTTGATATTACTGAAAAACACAAGAAATTCTAGTGAATAAAAACCAAGGATGGATTTGAATTCTGCAGATAACTGCACCATTCAACTTTTAATAGCTGATATGAGTGAGTAATGGGCTATCTGGGGACACATTTTTAATCACTAAACAGTTTTTAATCACTTAAACTTTACTTTTTTGTGGGGGGATGTTAAATTCTTTTAAAAAAGGTATTCTCAGTCCTTCAGCACAGTGAATCGAATCAAAAGCAGCTGGACGTTGTTTTTGATTATTTACGATGTTTTATTTCTCATTCATGGAGAGTTTCTATTTCCCTGTGATTCAGCTTAATAGAAGGTTCTCCGAAGGCAACAACTTCTCTGGGCTCAAAGACGTTTTCAAGCAGTGAAAACATAAATTGAGGTCAGACAGACTGATGTTCCAGATCTTTTTGTTTAAAAAAAAATCCTGCTGCATACTCTGGACCAAAGGCAAAATACAGAACCAAAGRGCAGAAGTAATTGCAGCATTACAAAGTGACAAAAGCTTTGCTTTTCTTAAAGTTTGCAGCATGAAATATTTGGTTTGACTGTCAGCAAAGAAATGCTAATACAGTGTTAGGTCGATGTAAGACTTAATGTAAGATGTAAGTCGATGTAAAAAAAGAAAAAATATGCAGTTACCATTTGGTGTTGAATAACGCAAACTCAAAAATCTTTGGTCAAAGACACGTTTGATCATTATTTTCAGACATCTCTCTAAGGAATAACGCTGGCAAGAAGTTAGTGTTTGAAAATATGGATCCTAGGTTTGCATAATAAAAAGTATGAAAGCACGAAAACTACATTTTCACTTTTTTAATAAACTTTTTTTTTCTCAGCTTTTCAGGAAAAGTTATGCTTCAACCACTTTGGCTTTCTGTGTGGTGACAGTAAAAAAAAAAAATCAAGCGTACCCCGTTGTGTTGAGAAAGGTGTCTCCTGTTATGCAGTCTCGAGCTGTTGCTGATGGAGCGAACCAAAAAGCCGGGGTGCAGCTCCCATCAATCTGCCTCTCAAAGCCATAGTCACTGTTTCAGTCGAGACAGGGAGAGGAAAAAAATTAAAGGCACACTGTGACTTTAATAAGATTAGTTATTGTTTCTGGTACAACTTCAAACAGAAATATTCAGTTAAGATTGAATCAATAAGTGCGGGAGAAGAAATATTCTCACACAACAGTAACGGTTTTGGTGTTTGATGTTTTATGGATCAAACAACTGAAGCGGAGAAATCATTGTTTGTGTTTACTAAAATTGTAATCGTCCTGTTTGTGTCTTACAGATCTGTCTTGTTTCTTTTATCCAGATCAAGGAAGCATGTGCAGGAAGCAGCAAAGTGCTGTTGCAGCGGGATTTATTAATGCACCAGAGACAAAAGAGAAAACTGTACAGTATTGAAGAAATTTAAAGTTGTTAGAGGTTAGCACTGATGTTAAAAGCACAACACTATATTTTTAGGTTTTCCTTTTTATAAYGTTACCAATGTTTAATCTATTATGTTTTGATTGATATAGATTAGTTACATGTCCAAATTATAAACAACACGTAATTAAAACGTTATAATAACAGTAGATGAGACTTTTGTATGAATGCCTGTGATTCAGCCGTAGGTCAGTAGGGGGCGAAGGCAGGCATTGAAGAATTGTATAAATTGAGGTACTTCCTGGCTTTTCGGCAGAGTGGTTTCCTTGTCAGCTCCGGTGGCAATAAAACCTCACTTGGTTCCAGAATTCTGGTTTTGAATGGTTTTTATTCCTTCTACAAATCATTTTATTTAACAGTGGTGGTTTTCATATTGACTTCAGTCTATTGAACACGTATTTTCTTACAGTATAGTCAGTCTTTACCATTACATGTCATGGGAGTAAATGTAATCATGTTAGAGGTGATTGAGACACTGGCCAGCTTCGCTAGATGTGCTTACAAGTCATTATTTAAAAACTTTAATCTTTATTTAATGGGCAAATTATTAAAAAGCAAACATTCTTAGAAAATAAGTTCCAAAAAAAATGTGTTTTGGCTGTGTTTTTAAGAATGTGAAGTCCATAAATATACARGAGAAAGCTGTGAATTTTATCACATAATCCTTAAAATTCTCTTCTCCTTGTGCCTTCGCCTTGCTTCACACGCGCGCGCCTCTGGAGACTGATAAAGCGTTGAGCATTTGATTTAATGAAGTGAAAAGAGTATAGCTGCCGAGACGAGAACTCACCACTCGAAGTCTGCTTCTGTGCACGGGCAGGAGTCTGACATCTGAGAAATATACTGATCTCGGGCCTTCACACATTGAGCGTTTGCTCTCAGTTTTTGGAAGATTCTCTTCATTCCCATAATGCACACTTCCCCCTGTGATAAATAATGCATCATAAACACATCAGTCTTATTTTTTTCTTTGCCTTCTTTTTTTTTTAGTTTTGCCATCTTGCTTTTATCGTGTATCCAAATCAAAGTGACTCTTTCAGATCAATCGATGGCTGAGTCTGGACTCTTGCATATTCTAGCAGTCTTGCCAGTACAACAACCACAGTGCTTTGTCAGTGGCAGAGAATAGTCTGGCTTTACTAATTACTATTCTTGTATTATGCAGGAGACAATTTGGTTCCAGCAAAATGGCGAAAAAAAGAAAAAAAACAAACATCTTTAACACTTTTCTCGGAATTTCATCAATACATTTTTGAAGAAAAATGGAAGATGTTCAGAGATCCCTGTGAGAACTTCCAGAAACACTAAAACAAGAATTTGAACCCTTTTTAGTAAGATGTAGTGTGGGTTTGTAGCATTAAATAATTTTTAAAAAGTGCCATAAGTGATTTAGGTAATCATTTCCTTTCACGTTGTATCAAGGACGCTTCATTTTGTGCATTGCATTGGCAAGAGAAGATAAAACATAAAAGGAGACTTAAAAAAAACAAAGGTCGTAGTTTTTTTTACATTTTCTGTGTCTATATACTGCTCAGAATTATGATCTTGAACACATGTTTATTCATTACAGTCCAGATAATTAGAATGCAAAAGAGTTGATTTGAAAGATGTGGCAGTGTCTCATTTGTCTCTATGTGTCCCTGTGATGGACCAGGTAACCATCCTGGAGGTACCCTGCCTCTCACATAAGACTGCTGGAGCAGGCGCCAGCTCCCCATGACCCAAAAAATTTGAAATTGGTTGCAGAAAATGGATGAATTGATGAATTTAAATCATAAGACCAGGTTTTATCATGACTGCAACAAAAACAGTGGTGCCCATGCAAAACAATACTAAGGAAGAGYTTCTTTTGGTGAAACCATTTATAAACCATACAAATTGGTCCTTGTTTGTAGGCTTGGAGACAACAAATGGAAATTACAGTTCTAAGGAAGAACAAAGGTATTGATTGTGTTTTTTCTAGACTTAAATGGACTGCGCTTCATTTACTTTACATTAACTTGTTTATCTCCTTTGTTTACTGCAGAGTTCTGAGAATTGTGTTGGTAGAAGGACCTAAATACAGGCAAAAAAGCAAGTTCCAAAAAAACGTTACTTTAAAGATGAAAATGTGAACAGAGCAAGTCATCATGGATCACATATTGATCAGATGCTGCTGCTGATTGATCCATGATTTGATGTAAATGTAATATTTTCTATAGGTAAAATTAATCTCTGTGATAAAATAACTGTCTGTTTTTGTCACTTTTATGGTGGACTGAATCAACTCTTACCTACAGAAGGGAAACTTCACCAAAGTGAAACATAAATCTGTGGATCTGTGTTTGATTACTCTGGCTGGCTTTCTCAAGGACCAGGATGTGACACAAAAATCAGAATTTTAGAACTGAAATTGAATTATAGAACTGAAAGTGAAAGTAGTCAAACTGAATTTTTAATAAACCAAAACACAGTTTCAAAGCAAATTAATTCAAATTCAAAACTTTAAATTCAGTTTCAACTTAGTGAAATTCATTTTCAAACCAATGCATTCAATTTCAAATTATGCACATTCAGATTCAATCTGAGCAATTTAAATTCAATTCTTGCTGGCACAGGATTTATCCCGTAGTAACGCCCAGTTTTCTGCTTTAATTACCATAAGTTCTTTTAGTTAAACATGGGCATGTTTGGTATCTACAGAATCCTCAGAATCTCAGCTAGAAGGTGGTAAAAACCATTCTATGCCCCCTCAAGCCAGTTAAAATTACAAGCAGTTGAAGTTAAAACCATGAAAGCGAAACTAAAATAGGTTTTAAAATTTGGCAAGTCAGATATGTCAAAATGTTTGTGTCAAATATGAGGCACAATGTGTTATTTTGGTTTTTGACATATATATATTTTAATTATCACTACTTTTATAGGGTTCTGTATGTTGTATTCATGGTTAAATGTAGCAAAATAAACTATTTCAAAGATGGCAGATCTGTAATACTTGGTTTATTTACAYAATGACTTTAATTGCTGGATGTTCGGCCCCTGAGCTGTTGACCTGCAGTAACTGTGGCCCCCAGAGCAACTTAGTTGAATAGCCCTGTTCTAGTGTGTTTAAATTTGGAAGCAATTCTCTCCAACAGGTGGAACAGCACATCATAAACATTTAATAACTCTGCTTTTCACTTGTTTAGAAAGTTCTGGTACAGCCGAAATTCAGTGTAACTGTTGTCTTTGTGCACACGTCTCCCTTTTATTTTGTTTGCCTTCTCCATTGGTAACATTTTAAAACAGTAATGGATCAACAATATCTCTCTACATACCTTTCATCAAAAACAAGGATTAAAAGGATCTTACTTGTCTTGTAGACATTTCTGAATCCCACATCTTGACAGTCTACATGCCCAGAAAACATTTTAATATAAATAAAAGAAATCAGAATTTTCTGTCCAAGCTACTGCATGAATTCTGCTCCCAGCAACACCTCCTGCCTGCAGCAAGTACCACAGTTATGTCATGTCTCTTTTTCAGCATTATATAATGATGAATCTTGGGGCAAAAACCAGGTGAAAATTATTTGTAAGTTATTTCATTTCCCCTCCCTTAATACTGTATTTAAGAGACTTTATTGCAAATTAAGATGATGATGATGATGATAATAATAATAATAATAATAATAATAATAATAATAATAATAATATGTTTCTCCATCAAATTTAGTCTAAATTCATATTGCTAAAATGTGCTGATGTGATAATTTTGTCAATATTTATAATCCTTCTCCACAAACAGTCAAGCAGACTGTCCTCATTAAATTATAGTTTGTTTTTTAAAGGGGGTATCATGCAAAATCAGCCTTTTTTTAGTTTTAAGTCATGTTATAGTGCCATTCCCACAAAAAAAAACATACCCAGAGTGTTGCTTTGACTCATTCATGCATGTTTGAGAAATCCTTGAATCTCCTGTGGTAGGTGTGGTGCTGCCTAAATGCTTACTGGTACAAAGCACCGCCTATTTACACAAAGCTCCTCCCTGGAGCAAGTGTGAGTTTCTGAAACAGCAGTAGTTTGTTAAAGGGACAGAGGCCAATTTCAAGGCATTTAGATGGCTGATGCAAAATCAAATTTATTTTTGATACAGCATTTTCATAGCAACTGAAGGTAACATAGTTATTTAATTGTGGTCTAAAATGGAACCTTGTGCCTGTAAGGAAAACTTTCCATTTCCAACTTAGTTGGTTTAACAGGTCAGAGGTCAGGATAACATTTAAATGTTAGAAAGACTTTTCATACCTCATTGTGCAACTGCCATGTGAAATAGTCTTCGGATGTGCACCGTTGTTCGAAAATGGGCCGAAAGTCAATCTTGACAAGTTGCCACTCAGATCGATGACTAAAATGACCAAATATTCTGCTCAATCAAATCAGGGGGAGAAAAAAATGGTCAAAAATATGCTGTATGTACAGTAGGGTAGATTTTTGTTGAAGCACTCATTTGGAAACACATCAGCTTCTGATGATTTCTGCGTATCTTACGTCATGATGAGGATGTCCTCTCCAGGCTCCCCCAGCACCCCATCAACGTAGAGCGGAAAGGAGGTGAAGCTATATTTGTCCCAGTTTCTGCCCTCATCAAAACTCAGCCTGGGGGGGGGAGAGAGACCCACCACAAACGGAGCTACATTCAGTAAGAAAAAAAAATCCTTTGCAGGAAAGTAAGCTCTCTTTCTCCTTGGTTTGAAAATTGAGCACAGTCTCTGAAAAGATGTGGAAAACGTCCGTGGAGAGAGTCTTACCAAATGTGTCTAATTGGCAGAGGTGTGTGTCGGATGGCCACCAGAGACCCTCCTTGATTCAGGAAAAACACACTGTACTCTTCCTGAAAAATCTGCACAGACAGCCAGATTTATTTTAGCACACCGGAGAACATTATTCAAGCATGTATAAAGTACACACCGGTGCCAACATAAGGGCCGTGCACGCTATCACCTACAATAAACAAGCATCATCTACAACTGTTAGTTTCACAACAGTCTCAGCTGTGTGAAAAATAAAAATAAAAAACGTCAAACAAGTATCGCCTCAGTGTTTATTTCTGGAGTCTTAAGCCACTGGCAAAAATCTGTATGCTCTCTTTGTTTTATTTGTTTTAAAGCTCAGGAATGCACAAGGCTATAGCGAGCTGTCAATGCTCACTTCTCTATTTCTTTGCAAATTTGACTGCAGCACCAGTGGCTGAAAAGGGAGGGGAAACAAAAAAAGAAGCTGGCACTGAATGTCTAAAATGAGCTATGTTTGCATGTTCTCTTTTCTAACAAATCCTGATATGTTTTGCATTATTAAAAAAAATTCTTGTGTTTTACTGGGTACAAGTTCAAGGGAAGGATGGCATTTATCACAATTTTTTCTCTTTTTTTAAWTGGAATAAAAGTGTTTGAAAGAAAAGAAGCACAAACTTAATCACACATCAAATGAAAACCTTTAAAAAGTGCACAGGGATGCAGAAAGCATGTTGTACCTCTCTCCATGTGTTCCCAGCATCAGACGTGATGAAGATACTGACATTTGCACTGGTTAGCTCAGGTCCAACCACACCTAAATACAACAAAAAGATAAATAAATATAAAAACAAGGCAAAGATTATCTCAAGTGTATCACCATAACAATGATTGCAAACGGTGTTATTATTCTTCCCACTGGAGAAGCATGGAGCAGATGTGCAGGGAGGACAGATAACATCTCACTTTGTAAATTGTTGTCAGCTGTGAAGGACAGTGCTGGAAACAGAGCTAAGCAAAACAAAAAAATCAAAACTGACTCGAGAGAGCCGAGGGATATGATGAAAGACCTGCATTAGGGGTAAGGAATAAATAAACAAAAATAATAATAATAATAATGTGATTGTGCAAAATGAAATCTCACCTGATGCTATTATAATTCCCGGAGCCGTGTCTTTGCTGACAATGTTTCCTGAGGCGTAAGGGTTCTCCGAGACATGAAGGTGTAGGTGCAGCGAGCAGTACGGCTGTCGTACAAAGACGAGATTCATTCGAGGGAGTCAGAATGAGAAGAAGAAAAGTTGGAAAACAGACCAGAGTCAGGTATGGATCATGGATGACTTCCAAAACTGCTGGAGAAGCTTGGACGAGGAAAATGGGAAATAATTTGTGATATTCTAAATAGGTTTAATGCAGAAACATAACTGATGAGTTATGGATTACAAAGGTTGTCAGCACAGATTTACACTTAGCTGCATAAAACTTTAAACTTAAAGACATTTATAGAAATATCCCTGTTAGAAAAAAAAAACTTTGCATAGATGTCCCAATGAGAATTTGTATATGTACAACAATAGCAAAATGACCTATTGCTTGTTAAGAAACCCAACAACTGAAAACTGATCCCAAGTATCCTGTAGACTCGGCCTGGTTAAGAAAAAGTGTACCTCCTCCCTGATGGGAAGAGGCAAAACTCTGAGTGGATGATTAATGTCTGCCAACATGGCCTTTGCTTTATTTTTTATTTTTTTTTATTTTGTACTCCATCAAGAGCAGGATGGAATATTACAAATAGWTATTTAATCTAATACAGTCTGTAATGCCTCGGAAAGGCTCAATCAAAAGCACAATGTGATTTAAGCTCTTATTTTGAAAATATACGTATATTTAAATATACATTTAGTACATATAGTTAAAACAGGTAAAGATTTAGAGCAGAGCTGTTGCCTTCATAGTGTATGTTACAAAAGCAGGGGCTGCATCATTTGCTTACATAAAATAAGTCCTGGGTGGCAAACTAGTAAAATAAAATAAACTATGTTTCGATAAAATATTGTTAGTAGCATTGGAAAATGTAAAATTAGGCAAATTAATCTCTCTTACTTACAAAATACATTCAAATGTGAGTTTTAAGGACATATGGTTAGTCATACTGCAGATTTAAGAATGTATTTGAGGTGGTAAATATTATTAATGTGTGTGTTACTTTAAATGTCGAAAATGAATTATAGTAATACTTAAAAAACACTTTTTGCATTGAGATTTTTTTTCCACTGGTATAAAGGTCTGCCACTTTAACTCAATGAAATTTTACACAGTACAGACCAAAACCATTAAACTTGGACAAAATATTACCTTTTTTAATACACGTTAACTTATTTACCTGTGTTTATTATATCCCATCATCTATAACAAAAAAAAAAAAACATTTTCCTGCTTCCAATTGCATGGATGTGAAGCAGTTTGGTTTTAGCAGAGATGACATTTTTGCAAAACAACTTGATATTTTTTGCATTTACAGTTTTTCAGTCGCAGCTATGTTGAACATATTTTAGTGGTTTTTTGACATTATTTATGTTAATAATAAGCTTTCAGAAGCAATATCAGAGTCTGCTCCACTTCAGAGCACCGTGTTGCCATGAAACACCTTTATTCACTGTCTTTAGCGGTGCTACAGTATGCAGTGTTTCAGCAGAGGATTTTTTTGAGAGCAGGTAATGGAAATCCAAATAACTATATCTATCTCTTGTCAGTGGCCCACTTACTTGTTCACAATAGACCTTGTTTCCCTGGAGATCGGTTGTTGGAGCCTGAAGAAGACGCCAGTCTCTGCCCTTGTTGTATGTGATATAAGTTCTCACTTGGTTTTCAACAACTTTATTTGACAGGAACACTCCTTTAATCCCGGCAACCTGTGCGTATGAGAGGTGGGGAGCGGCAAAAAGAAAAATTWAAAAAACAAAAACAAGAAAGGAAGGAGTGAAAGCATAACAAAAAATGTACATATTCTATTTTGAGTAAACTGAAGGTTTAGCTTTGAGAGGACATATTTGAGAGTGATGGCTTTTCTGGCACTATTTTGGACATCTGTAGGACTGTGTGGAATCAAAACAACATCTGGCACAGCCCTGAGACATGACTTCTTTTTTAGCATTAATATCCAGAAATGCATTTTTGCATACAACAAACACTTGTTTACATTTCTCTTCATTTTCTTTTACCATTTGGTGCCAGAAAAGACAGTTTCATAACCGCGAATGTGAGCAGAGGTCATCTCTGCCACTGCTGGTGGCTACCTCAGGTGTGTGACTGTAACAACATGATACTTTCACTGCGGGCTGAAGATGAGGGTGATGCACAGTGATGCGTACGTGTGCGGTCTCCGTAACCTCACAGTGGATCTGTCAACACTGATTTATGTTCAGGGCACAAGTTAACGCTGCTATTAAGCCTGCACTGAACATATGAGGTGCATGAAAAGCACACTAAAAGAAGCCCGGGTTGATGTAAGGTTTATGCAACAATAAAGTCAAATGAAAACCAAAAATAAATAAATAAATAAATTGTGAAATTAGTTCTGATGAGACTCAAGTATGAATGTCATGAGTCAGCATCTGTTCCATTAATGGAGGACATTTAAGAAAGTTGAACAGAGCAAAGAGAAGCAGAACAGAAGCTAAATCTTGTTTGGACGTCCTTTTTTGTGATCGGTTTCATTTTTTTGGTGATGTCATATACAGTGTCCAATTATAATAAAGGACAGTAACTATGTTTACAGTGGTGGGCACAGTTCCCCTAAAGCACTAAAGCACAAATAGGGGAACTAATTTTCTGATTAGTGCTTTAAGGCTTTTGCTAATTTTAAAATGTACTAGTGGATTAGCACCTGCTAAATTTATAGGCTAAATTTAGAAGCACTAAACTGAGGTATTTAAATGTTATTGATCAACGTTAATGTTAACAGTTGACAGTGAAAGCTGTCACATTTTGTTCATATGTGTGTCACTTAACATAGATTTTTTTGTTATAAGAACTTATTCTAGAAAAAAGAGGCAGGTTTCATTTTATTTGTGATTTTGATTTTGATATATATAT